CCGCTCCTGAAATTACGCACGAACACTTCATCGTTCACTTCGAACACACTGTCAGCATCACTGCGCCGTGAAGTCTGTTCAAACTGACGTGCTCTGATATTACGATCCAGAGCCGGCTTCAGTGCATCCAACCGTGTCCGTGGCTGACGTCCCAGAAAAAGAAAAGATGGGGTTTCTTGAGTCGTCGCATGCGGAGTGTTGCGATACGTCATTAAGAATTTTGACAATGTTTCCTCTATACTTTCAGTTGCAGGGCCCTTTCGAAGTGCGTTCCTTAGGGTTTGCACAAATCTCTGCGATTCCATTGCTGCTGGGGTGATATGCAGAAGTGAGAACCTGCCGGACTGAATGTTCTTTAAGGAACTCCTTAAACTCAGACGATGTAAACTGCGCACCGTTATCACTAACCAGAGCTTCTAGTGCCCCATACCGAGCGAATAGATCGCGCAGTTTTGTTATCGTTGTTTCTGCGGTGATAGACGTCGTGACAAAGACCTCAGGCCATTTAGAATGCGCGTCTACAATGACTAGTAGCATACAACCGCGAAGAGGACCCGCAAAATCGACATGTACCCGTGTCCATGGTAGTGTCGGCCATGACCACAGGTGCAATGGTGCCTTTTGTGGCATGTGGCGCTGCTGTTGGCATGCCGTGCATTGTCTCACTTGGTTCTCCAAGTCTGTCTCCAAGGAGGGCCACCATACGTAACTTCGGGCGAGTGCTTAGCTCCGCACGATTCCTGGGTGTCCCTGGTGTAGCTCCTCCAGGACCAGCTGTTGAAGCTTCAGGGGCACGACGACTCTCATTCCGTGCATCATGCACCCCTCGTGGACTGTGAGTTCCCTGCGTCTGTCAAAATAGGGTTTCAACACTTTGTCATGAAGATGCAATGGCCATCCCTTCTTGGTGAAGTCTACGACCAAGCTGAGGACGGGATCACGCTCTGTCTGACGCGCAATGTTCTTACTGGTGACCGGTAGAGATGCCAACCGCAGCGTATAAAACGTCTCGTCGTGACTGTCGTCTACATCTGTGGACTGTAATGGAAGTCGTGAAAAACAGTCCGCGTCCGCGTTGTCTGCTGACGTCCTGTAGACAAGTTTATACTTGTAGGCTCAAAGAGTTACCGCCTACCTCTGCAGTGTTGAGGCGGCTATTCCCGGGATACCACTCTTTGGCCCAAGGATCGTTTCCAAGGGTTTGTGATCAGTAATTAACGTGAACTCCCGACCATAACTGTAGAAGTGAAATTTCTTGACGCCAAAGATTAGGGCGAGCGCCTCCTTTTCAACCTGGCTATAGTTTTCCTCAGCCTTTGATGACGTTCGGGAAGCGTAGGCCTTACCGAGCGATCTTTCATGACGTGCGACAGTACAGCGCCAAGACCGTACGCAGACGCATCGCAGAATAGCTGCAGCGAGCGTGCCGGTTCGTAGTGTGCCAACACCTCCGTCGACGACAAGACTGCCTTGATGGCTTGGAAGGCATCTTGACATTTCTGATCCTAGCACCGGGGAGCACCCTCTGTAGGAACCTGCAAAAAGGCTTGGCAAGCGTTGCTAACCGCGGCGTAAATTTTCCATAGTAGTTTATCAGTCCAAGCAGTGAACGCAACTGTGCGCTGTTAGTAGGCGCTGGGGCATGCAGCAGCGCTTGAACCTTTTCCTCGCTTGGCTTGACGGCGGTCTCGCTGATAATGTGCACCAGATACGGCAGGCTTTCTTTGAGAAACTCACATTTTTCACGCTTGACGTGGACACTTCTCTGCTGAAGTCTACAAAACACGGCTTCAAGGTTTCTGAGGTGTTCTTCAGTGGTTGTTCCCGTGACGAGAATATCGTCAAGGTAGCATATGCCACCCGGTAGTCTAAGTATGTTGTTCATAATGCGCTGGAATAACGCGGACGCAGACGCTACTCCGAAAGAGAGTCTGTTCACCTCAAATAGCCCTTTGTGCGTGTTTAATGTGAGAAGCTTTTTTGAGTCCTCCGACATCTCTACCTGCTGGTATGCCCTGCTAAGATTTAGCTTGGAAAACTATTTGCCACCGGCGAGCGCAGCTAGTATTTTCTCAAGCTTGGGCAGAGGGTACTGCTCCGTGTCTAGGACAGGGTTCAACGTTGTTTTGTAATCCCCACACACACGTATGGTGCCGTCCTTTTCAACTACCGGTATAATAGGCGTAGCAAACTCACTGGTTGACGCTTGCGTAATGACACCCATTTGTTTCAGCTTTTGCAACTTTTCCTCTACGGCCGACTGAAGTGCGTAAGGCACGTTTCTTGCTTTGAGGAACTTCGGACGTTGCACTTTCAAAAAACGAAGTGGCTCGCTCACCTTCTATCTTGCCAAAGGTGCCGTCAAAGATAAGGCTGTAGTTGGCTTGAAGTTCTTTTAGGCGTCACAGAAGTGTCATGCCGTAGCCGGTCGCGATCCTAGCGGTGTCCATGCACCAGCAGCAGTGCTGGATGAGGCAGACGCCTGTTCTGCTTGCAGGTAACTCTGAAGTGTGGCAGGCCACGGAAGCTTCGGGACAGCCAGAAGTTGGGAAGCCGCGCGACAACGGGGACGCAATCGCGTTAGGTAGTGCTTTTCGCCAGCATCTCTAAGACCAACCACCAGGATCGCGACATCCGACAGCAGGACTCTTGAGCTCTGTGACGTCATTGGCTGCCATTTCGGGACCACTTTTGATGTATGCGCTGGATAGGATCGATAAACACACCTGTCGGAGACGCGCTCCAGATACTTGTAATGAGTACCGCGAGCAAGTCTGCAGGAACTCATATTTTCAAATTTATTTAAATGAGGTGACTATAATCACCGACAGCTTAAAAGACCTCTAAATTTTTTTTAACAATTTGGGTGGGACACGCGTGTCAAAAAACTAATTTTACGTGAAGAAGCAAAGGTTGTTTTGAGCAATATTGACGGTGCAAGACGCGATTTAGTCAGTATACCTCCTTTCCACTTGTTTTCTCTTGGCATTTCGAGGGCGTGGAAAAAGGGTGGATTGGATTCGCTTTTCCGTTAACAGGAGATTGCAGCTCCCAAGCCCTATGTAATTCCAGGGGCAAATTTTCGATATTTTTTCTCAGCAGCCACCGAACGGATTGAATTGGGAATGGCTTTATCAGAAAGATAATAAAAAACGGAGTGATATTGTGGCGCTACATTTCCCGATCAAAATGTTAAAATTGTTTTACGGCAACTTAAAGTTGCTTGAAAAAGCCCTTTTTTCGTTCCGTTCTTCATGAACATTTAAAAATAAACCAGGGCCTAAATACAAATTCAGGCGCCACAATATGGAAGACTTAGAGTTCTTGAATATATCTCTTACGAGATCTTTTTGCCAGAGGTTCTCATTGTGATAAACTTTAAATAAGTTAGTGGCCCATCAAAATGCCAGAAATCCATCTGTCAGCTGGCGCTATCTATAAGCGTGTCGCTAATACTACCTCTTCAAATTGCGCAATGTGTTATTGCGCCCCGGACTACTTGCATCTTCAAGGTCGTCGGGTTGACGGTTGGGATTTTGAGGAAGAATGCCCCTCGAAACTGTTTTTTTTGTTTAGCGGGCGAACATATATTGTGGTTTATCGCGATAGTGAGTAGTGGGTCATTCCATGTCAAACGTCCCAGATGTTGCCGCTCGACTCCTTCCGATTTAGAAAAAAAAAATTCATGGCCTTTTGCCTCAATGTCTGTAGCCATGCCCTGAAATATTTTTGGCAAAAAAATGTTTTGATGACGTGAGCGCGGTTTTGTTTTAAAAACAGCATGAAACTAAAACATCACTCAATAATTGACGAAAACTCAGCTTTTCACTGAAACACCGAACAATATTTTTTCTTAAATCTGCACGAATTTTGACTTACAATGTGGTTGGGCTTGTAAAGGTTTGTTTAATTTAAATATTAAAAAAAAATTTTGAAAATTTTAATATTTTGTTATTTTATCAAAAATATGTAATTGCTCCCGGGACTTAATAGAACTGCCCTGCAGGTATATAATCTAGAAAAAAAATGTTTCAAACCGCTCAATGAAATATCTCGCAGTAAACAGAAATCTTGAAGTTGCACAAAAGTTGCGTTTTGACGCATAAACAGCCGCTTATTTCACCTTGAGGTGGTCTAAGTAAAAATACAAAACATTGTGGGTTTGGAAGAACATTTGATAAGATTTTTAATTTGAAAGTTTAATAAAAGTACTTTTTGTTTAAAGTGAGAAAACAATTTTTAAAGTTGAACTCTCACACCACAACCCGGCGTCGCTTTTTAAAGCCTCTTCGCCGCACAGCACGCCACTCGCGACGATAGCTGACACACTTAGGTCCAAAAAAAGAACGGAGTTTTCTGCCGCCTCTCCTTGTTTGTCTTTCCGGCTGCAAGAAAAGAAACGGCGGGTATCGTGTAATAATCGGAGGTGCCGCCAGTGCGTAGCAATAACAGGACCGTTGTGCCGTTTGTACCCGAGGGCGGCTTGAAACGCGATGCCTAAACGACGGATTCAACTTGTGCATTCAACGATTTCTTTAAAAATAACACACACCCCCCAGACATTCCATTTGCGTGCGTTACGCAAACTTCAAAATGATGTAAGAAAGGAACCAGCAGGCACGCAGTCTCTTCGTCACTTTGAACTTTTGTCTCCTGAATCGCGAGGACGTCGATATCGTTGTCGATGAGAAACCTTTTAACTTGGTATTGTTTTCGACGCGAGGCCAACCCGCAGACGTTCAGCGTCGCGACCTTCAATTTATTGATAAGGTTGGACGTCCACGCGAAACAGGGACTCACATAGTCGAGAGACTCTCACCAAGTGCTGGTTCGGGGCCGCATCAGCCGGCCGGTTTGTCCGGGCCTCGGGGTTCAGGCACCAAGCTCGGAGAAGGTCGTGGGGCTCTCTTTTTCGTTGGCGCAGTCTTCACTGGTGGTTCAGACTGGCATGAATCGTTGCCAACCTTTGAGGTGTCGGAGTCATGCTCACGCTGCCTTTTTCAGGCGAGCGCACTAGCGTCGACCATGTTGACTTCGTTGCTTTGCTGTCCCTCAGTCGCTTTAATTGGCGCCCCTTTCGTCGACACTTCATCCTTCCCTGCCGTCGCCTCGTCCTTCTTGGCTGACGCCACGTCAAATTGGCTGTGATGGCGGCGTCAGTCGTCTTGAGCGGGTGCTCCAATCCGGGTGGGTCAACTTGCTCGGAGGTTCCGCTCACAGTCGTCCCGGTAGAAGGACCCGCTCCTTTGATTGTCTGCTCCGCATCCGCCTCGTCCATGAGGTGGTCAGCGTTGGCCTGTTCAGCTCCGGGTAGCGTAGGGCTTGACTGCGTCAAGACCTACGCTGCGGCCCGTTGCCGCAGCGTAAGTCTTGACGCAGTGGGCGGCGTCGTGACCAATCCGATGGCAGGATTGGCACTTCGGCACCCGGCAGTCGCGGCGGATATGGCCGGTCCTCTCGCAGCGCAGGCAGAGTGGTGCCCTGCCCGGCGCCACGACGAGCACCTGCCCTCCGGCAATAGGCAGCTGATGCGGCAGTTTGTCCAACCCGAGCCCAGGGTTAAGCCGGATGACAGCCGTGCGCGTCATTGACCCGCAGTTCATGACTCTCTGCACCCGCCACTTCTCGGCTCCCATTTCGGTCACCGTGTCGTAAGGGGCGAGTGTGGTTTTCACCTTGTCGTCGGGGACGTGATATAGGAGCCAGTGGAGCTTGACACGGATGTCGCGGTTACCCGGGTCGACAACGATGCATCGTCGGCCCTTGACGACGAGGTCACCCGCCACAAGGGTCTTCCGCTTACCCTCCGGTGACTTGAAAGTCACGGCCCAGACGTAATTCATCTGGAGCGCCCCCAAGGCGAGAACCCCGTGGAGCAGTTCCAGGTGGCCCAGGGCGCCGCGGAAGTCCTCGACGCGGTACGGGCGCCCGCGGATGTCAGCGTGCAGAAACATGGTGTTCAACACCGCAGCTCCAGTTGGCAGGGGAGGCAGTATAACCTGACAGTCCGAAGTAGAAGCGTCATGCCTGTCACCACGGCCCGGCTGGGCCGCTACCACCGCTCCGACGGAGCTCATGATTCACCAACCGACCGCCTACGCTGCCGGAAGAAGAATGAGGCCACATGCGGGGGGGGGGGGGGGGGGGGGGGGGGGGCGAGGGCGAGAGGGAGAGGGGGGACGTTCGTTGTTCCAAGTAGGCAAGAAATTATGGGACCTACCGTATCGTCTGTTGCGGCCTACGAATGTCAATAGTGTCTAGAAGTACGGCAGTGTGAACCTGGCTGACTGTTGTAGAATGAGAGTGGTCATTCGGGAGAGGGAATCTCGAAGGACTGTCTGCATTGAGGAGTCGTTTGCCAGGTTTGTACTTAATTGTAAAAATCGTAATCTTGCAATTTTCGCGACTTGAAATCCCTTAATTCTGGTAAGACAGCAAGGGTGTCCGTAACTTTTGTAAAGTGAGTGCTGTAGCGATAAGACCGAAATTTAGTAATTGCCCATATTATACGGCTAGGCACTCTCGTTCGGTTATGGTGTAATTCCGTTTGCACTTGGTGAGAGTCCGACTGGCATACACAATGACACGTTGAACACCAGATATGGTTTGCGCCAGCACTGCGCCGACACCGTGCCCACTGGCGTCCGTTCGAATCTCTGTTGCATCTTGAACAAAGTGGTCGAGGGTTGAAACTGGTGTTAATGCGTCTTTTAAGTTCTGAAAAGCTTGCACCTTAAAAGCCGGGTATCTTCGAAGGTAATTCGATTACCTTTTCAAAGTATCTGTACTCTAGTCAAGATAGTTTGTAATAAAAGTAACTTAAAGTTCTACTCTAAATACATTTCCAAATGGGTATTTAGTGTCTTAACCTAAATACATTTGTTGAGTATTTGGCAGAACACTGCGAAGAACCCATGGAACGTCAATCTCTGAAAGAGGGGCGGTTTTCGGAGTCGGCAACCTGGCGGCGACGATTAGTCTGGAAGCGGCTGTAACCGGTGTTGACAATGCGGCGGGGACGGTAACGTTCAATGTTCCGTGGGATGTTGCAGTAAATACATACGGGGCGGTGACCGTCTGTTCTCCAGGTGTCCGTCCTGCGGGGTGGTGACTGTCGAAGTGCGTGCAGGGAAGTGTTTTTTAATGGCTGCCTTGAAAAGCGGCAGGAGGTGTCGTGCTGCAAGACGCAAGTCGGCGCAGGAGGTGCCGGTGTATAGACACAAAAATCTGATGCAATTGGGTGGAGAGCAGCACAGAGGTCCTCGTGAACGTTTTTTTTTTTTTTTTTATGTTCCGAACGTCGGTAGTAAGGGGTAAGCTATCAGCAGGCGATCGAAGAGACCGGAGGCTCTTCGCGAGTTATGTTTCTAATTAGTCTTGGCAGGTCGGCGTTGGCAGAGCCGAATGACGTCCTCAATATAGCATGTCGATGGCTCGGCAGAAGATTGATAACGGCGCGCCAGCTCTTGTTGCTGGTGTTGAGGAGAAACTCTGTCAAGCGACAACAGTCTGCTTTTTTGTTACCCCTCCCCCTCTCTCCTGGAGAGAAACAATAAAGTTGAAAGTTGGCTCTCGAGTTTGCCAAAGACACCCGAAAAGTATGCCTTAAAACTGTCCCATGATAAGAAGTCTTTCTTTTGTTTTGTGGTTGTCGTAGCACTGATGCGCTGTTTCTTTCAGGAAGAAAACGACCTTGGCAAGCTTCAATCTGTCGTGCCATTGGCTGTGCTGGTTGACGCGATCATAGTTCTCCAGCCAGTCATGAACCTCAGCGTCGGGTGTACCCGAGAAATCGGAGGGATAGCATTGGCGTGTCTTGACCGGTACATCAACAGTGGTGTTTTCCGCGTTTCCCGCTTGTTTAGGCGTGAGGGCAGAGGTAGACTGCCGGCGGCGAGGGTCCAGGGTAGAACTGCGGCTGATAGATAGGGGAAAGTTCGCTTACCTTCACCACTTGTAAGAATGTTAGTCATATACGATGATTTAACGTTGATGTGATTTACAGTGCAAGTAGATATGGTGAGAGTGCGACCGTTCAGGAAGGCGAGCTAAAAAAATCACCAGCTTCCGTGCGCTTTCTTCACCGAGCCTGTGCTTCATCCTCCTTTAAATAATTAAAAGCGCCGAAAAAGACAAGGACAAGGAAGTGGAACGACACAAGGCGCACTCGCAACTGTGGTTTGTTTTGAAAAGTACATGCATTTATAGGCCCCAGAACCCTGTCAATCATCAGCGTGTCCCTCGCAACGCTTCTTTCAAATATTCAAACTCACTCTTTGACAGGGCGAGTGACGCTTCACTTACACACTCAACGCCCTTATCCCTAATTGCATATGCCTCATGCACTTCTCTGCTTGTTCGGTCGCGATAACGAGCCAAAATCTTAATGTCATGTAGCACTGGCGTACACCGTTTTCGGCGCTTTTAATTATTTAAAGAACCATGAACCAACTGGCTCAACTTTCCATTGTCTTTTTCGGCGCCTTTAATTATTTAAAGAACCATGAACCAACTGGCTCAACTTTCCACTTTGCTTCATCCTCCTATTTTCCTAACAATATACAGATTATTAAACTATTTATTAGTTTGATTTTATCTTCATGTCAAACCAATAAACTTATAGTCATTCGGGTGATTGAGGAGTGGAGAATAATTGGCAACAATTAGATGTCCGATAACTGAGGTAGCTTACAGTTTATTAAGGTTTATTTTGTCACTTGGATATGCGTTCACCGTCTGGATTACTCACCCAAAACTGCACATGTCACAGCAGGTGAGAAGGTCCTCCGCCGAAATATTCACCTGAATCTTTCCTTGGCTGTGTATGCAGATGCGATCAGACATGGCACTAACTGCAGAAAAAGCCTGTTAGATGGTAAAATAAGTTCCACATCAACTGAACCCAGGTCGTCGTTTCACTTATAGGATGGTTTTTATATAAAGAGTAAATATAAACTCTTTTTGATCCTCATAATAGTACTGAATGGTAATATAATCGGATAATTAAATAGTGACTGCTACTGGAAAATATTTTTAAACCACAATATCAGGCGGACTGCAGGGTGACACAGTGATTTTGTAGTGCGAAAAATTATGATTTTTTTTTCAGAAACGTTTAACTTACCCAGCATGCCCCGCAGGAAGACTGATCTCGAATCAAGCCGATGGAATCGCAGTGAGGCCAGTGTTGACGCGCGTCAAAGCTCTCGGGTAATTCCTCAGAGAAGTTTCCATGGACGACTTCTTTGAGCCGGTGTTCGCTGCTGTTCGGATGCTCTGCCATGAGACCACGAATGTAACCCACGCGAACAGAGCTGTGGAAGTTGGGTCCGGCCTTGCAGACAGCAGAAAACGATATCACATAGCTTAGACATTCCGCCGAGCGCAATAAGTTCGATAGCACTAACACGCAGTTCCCACTCTAACTAGGCAGGCCCCGCACATGAGCAGTGTAGGAAAGGGGGGAAGGGATGAAATAGAGGAGTGCTGCGCACCTCTTACCCCACTCTCTCCCCCTTTCCCCGCGCGCTACGCCATTGGTCGCGCACGCTATTACGTCAGACCAACAGCTGCGCTCCGTTGTATAAACTCTCTCCCATGGCCCTGCCCCGGTGCGACCAACATCAACACGAGGAAGGAAGGTCGATGCAGGGTTCCCATAAAAAGTTATCGTTTCGAAAAGTTATAATGTGATGAATTATGGGGTCGACACAATTAATGTGGGAAGACAAAAAAAAAAAAAAACAGAAAAAAACTAGTTTGTAATTTGTGCAAACATAATACTGAATCTTGATATACAGGGTGTTTTCTAAGCTCTACAGATTTGTTTCAAAAAAGCCGTGAAAGCCACTCTTACGCGGTTTATGCAGGCGAATTATACGGCCAGGGGACATAATATATGATGCTAATCGTAACGATCAGTCAGCTAATTAAGTAAAATTTGTTAATTAACCCTTAATTAGTAAAAATAGACATATATGGTTTTAATTAGAAACTTACTGAGCGTCACCCAAAACCACTAAAGCAAGAATTTTTAGAAATACTTTGAACGCGTAGGATGCGTTGTAGTACGGTAAATGTACGACTTGTACAACAGGTACAAGCCTGGGGCTATAATAAGAACTGAAAAATCGCGCGGGCGCCTTATCGCATTGGTAGCTTTGCTCCTGCCGCACAAGTGGCAGCTAGATTACCTTCATGTCGGGACATGAAGGCACCCTAGTGGTAACTTGAGCGCACTACTGCGCTTTTCACGCGCTACAAGTATTTCTGAAAATTACTGATTGAGTGGTTTTAGATGACGCTCAGGGGCAAGTTTCGAATTGATATCATATGTATATTTTCACTAACTACAACGTTAATTAACACATGTTACATAATTATCAAACTGATCGTTACGATTAGCCTTCTATACTATGTCCCTGTGGTCGTATAACTCACCTGCACAAACCGCATAAGTGTAGCTTTCGTGGCTTTCGTCAAGCAAATCTGTAGCTTAAAAAAACACAAAAAACCCCGTATACAAAAAAATATTGCTAAAACATTAATGCAGTTCTTATGGTCGAAAAAGTGCACGCCATTTTCTGGAGTATATTATACTGAGTGTATAGTTCTTAAATAATTCTGACGCTTTTTTTCTTTTAAAAATATTGCGTTATATGTATTTTAACCCGATCGGCACTTTCAGAACTCATATTTTTCCATGATATGTTATAATAATAATAAATGTATTATATTTGTACTTTTGAAATAATTTCTGCCTACAGTATTGCTTTTCCAAGGCACAACCATTTAAGATAAACAAAAGTACGCTTTGCAAGGTCTCCGTTTATGGTTTGTTGCACTCCTAACCTGTTTTTCGGTGATTACATCTACTTCATGTGAGATAATACTATGTTCTCTGCTCTTAAGTTGCAAAAATATGTTTTTGTTTTCGCACGTGAACTTTTATGTAATATTGAAGGCGAGCCTAAGTCTTATCGGAATTTGATATAGCAAAAAAAGTACGAATTGTTGTTTTTTTTGTAATAAAAAAAACGAAGGTGAACAATCATTCTGCTCACAGAGTGAGACAAGCCTGAAAAGTGAAATGTTGTTTTCAGCCTGATTTTATATGATGTAAACGACTAATTTTTGCGAGGACGTAATTTGCTGCATAAATAATTTCGAGAAAAATTCATCGTGCTATTATATTACATAATGATAAAAAAGAAATACGTAGTTGACCATTCCGAATTGCAAAATTTTGCGCCCGCTAAATGTCCCCCCAAACCCACACTTTGCGAATCCCCGAAATAGTAAGCTCTAAAAAATAAAGCCGTTTACAGTAAATTCATAAAATGTTAAACACAGAGTGTCACCCGAAATTCTTGACATGTTAATTTGTAAGCGACCACATACTAAATGATTGACGAAAATTATTGAAAGGCTCATAAACAACATGTTTTACAATGTTATGTTCACAAACCAGTAAAGCGCGCTTTACTTTTAAGAGAATCAACTTCTGTGTCCAAACTGGCAAATTAAAATGTCTAAGTCCATAAAGCGCTAGCTTTGAAGATAAATCTTGCTTGTTGCGACAAAAATCAACAAGTTTGGGGGGATTTTCAGTAGCTCGGAAATTTTGCTCCGTAAGGTTAAACTTATCAGTAAATCTTGTTCCGGCTCAAACACAAAAAAGAGTAATGTTCGAGAAATACCTGGCTAAATTTTCAGCAAAGAACGAAGCTACATTTTGCAGCATTTATAATTTCAAAATTAGCTGCGTTATTTGTGAGCTAGATTGTAAAACCAGAGGGTGGAACTATAGTTCAACTCATAAGTATCAGATAAATTGAATTGAAAGTAAAAAAATAATTAAATAAGCATATGGGATCATATCATTCAGGATTTAAAAATCACGGTTTGTTTCTGAAACTAATTAGGTTTACAAAAAAAAATGATTTGGTATACCTGCCAAGTCGTGTTTAAAGAGTTGATGAAGTCGATCATGCTTTGTGAAAATGGATTCTTTCTGTTGTCGAACACTTCTTTCCCGACAGCGAGACCCACCAACGAACAAAAAACGAGGAGGACTGTCTTCATGTCTGGAAAGGACAAGAACAATATTTTATTCATTGTTATCCTACATTTATGAGATGGATTAGATTACAAGATTGCACTACATTCGTGCCGCACTCACTTACAAGAGCAAAGAAATGTTACATGGTGCTATCAGCGCTCGTTCGTCACGCATTTCGAGCACAAAAAAGGAGCGGAAATATTGTGATAATAGGGAGTTTTAGGGAACCGTGTTTGCAAGTCCGATACGGTACGATAGGCCCTCCGGTACGAACAGCGCATATGGGAGTCTTCTGAGGTAACGCATGCGCAGTTCTTACCGGAGAGCCCACCGTACCATATCGTATGTGCAAACACGGTTCCCTAAATCTCCCTAATATTGGCGAATTGTAGGAGACCGTTTCCGGAGCCCGCGAAGCACCCGGATAGCGATCCGTAATCCGCCACAAGACCTTGAACTATGCAGAGAAGGCTGGCGGCGCGCATGCGCAGCTGCGGCGTTTTCTTCAGGGATACCGTAGCGGAGGAGAAAAAGGTCTACTATAATTCCCTATTGCTGTACTGTGAGCCTGCGACATCAGTACCGTGCATGGAACGCGTGTCCACCTGGTGTGTTCAGCGTCCCATTCCGCCCATACATAAAAAGGGATCCCCGAAGTGGTAGCAAATGACGTCATAAAAGTCGGACTGTCATGCTGTCGGATATAGCGATCCTGGTGGTCGGCAGCAGAAGTTCCGGCAACAGGCGCAAGCAAATGCGAGTGTCGCTATCGTCTCGGTGTCCCAACGGCTGGTTGCCGGAGCTTCCGTGAACTTGTCAAATTAGAGACCGACCCGCAGCACAAACAGGCGTCCGCCACATCCACTAATTGCTGCTGGGACGCCGCCAGGATCGCGGCCGGCGACAGCGTGACACATCTACGACGTCATCAGGTGGAAATCGAGGGTCTACTTTTTGGGCGCGGTAAACACACCAGTCGGAGACGCGTTCCAGGCACGATAGTGCAAGTGAGATAACAGTGATATGCATAAAGGTCGATAAAATTTCTACACTGTCATAGAGAGTCGCAGCAACAGAAAAGAAAAGAGTGGCACCAAGGCGTGATAGTTACAGCAGCGCTAAGTTAATATAGAGGATCTTACAATAATCCTAAATCGGCACGACTTTGTGTTTTGGGACAGCTTCATGTGGACTCGAAACAAATATGAAATAGGGGGTGGTTTATTGTATACTACTATTAAACACTTAGAGTCAAATCAGCCGGTGATATATTTCAGCGATGTAATTCTTGATTTTTATATGAAAAATATTTTAATATGTCACGTGTGCGATTACTTTCGTGAAGAGTAAAACACTGGTCCTAATAAATTCACTGTCATCGGTGTCAAAATCCTCCCTTAAATACGTGTCGCTTAAACGCTTGTGAGATGTAGGAAAACTAAAACAATTTTCTGTTTCGTAATACAATGTTTTGACATTGGTACTTGCTGCCACGGAAAAAATAGCAACTTTAAATATGCATACGTTATATGCATAATGTGTTAAAGTTTACATTACAAATCCTAACGTTGAAAGTACCACCTTAATTGTGAAATTACAAATCTATGTTGTTTACAAAACTAATTATATATTTACAGGTACAATATTGAGAGGTACAACATATGTAACTCAAAAGAGAACTACGTCATTTAAAATTTTGAAAATCACGTTGGCATCGGCCTGATTGTGCTTACTCTTGAACGATCAAAAGCATGACCTGCATAATAAAAATGAAAGCTTGCACGAAGTTGAAAAAGATACGTATATTCTCTCATGAAATGCGATTGTGCCTTTCTGATAGAAATTTCCCAGAAATAATGTTGTTTACGTTCATTTCATCTGCAGTTATACTAAATTTAACTTCCAAAATAAAATAATAATAATAATAAAAAAAAAAAAAAAAAAACGCATGGCGTGTGTTGGGGATTTTAGCGAAATGGAAGCCGCGAGCGGCGTAGGCCAGAACCTCAGAAAGAACGTCATTTCGCCTCCGTCGACTGCATTCGCTGCTTGGTTTTCGTAGGCAGCATAGCTCTACGCGCTTGCTTGTTAAGATCAACTAAATAATCTGGGTTAATCGCAGTCTTGGGTAAGTTACTTTTGAAAAGTAATTCGTTACAGTTACAGTTACTTTCAGAAAAAAGTAGTGAAGTTACCGTTACAGTTACCGCACCAAAGAAAGTAACTCGTTACAGTTACAGTTACTTTTAGAAAGTAACTACGTTACTTTTCAGTTACTTTTTCTATAACACAAAAAAATTAGGAGAAACTTGAAAACGCTTTTCACCAAGTTTATTTGCATAAAATTAAAAAGTGTGTTTTTTACTTCGTATTGTAAGTTGGCAGCAGTTGCTTCTCGAAATTAGTTTCTGAAAGTTTCCCTTGTTTGATAACGAACACGTCTCTGCCCTTGTTGAACAGGCGCTCGTCTAACGCGCTGGATGGGATTGCTGTATTGTTTCGCCGGAAAAGGTTTTTGATTGCCGGGTAGGCGGTGAGGCAATAGAGTGCCGTTTTCTGCGGTCAAGGTGTTAGTAACCTCCTCCAGGTCAGCAAAATACTCTCTGTACGCCGGCCATGGTAGTTTTTCTTTATTCTTATCAACATTCATATCCTTCGTAGCACTAGCTTATTGCTGGCTCGTTGATGGTTGCGCTGGGTTCATACAGTCCCTGGACATATTTCAGCTTGTACCCGGCAAGCCAGAAACAAACCCCGCGCAAACAGCAGTAACTTTTGACTCGACTGTTGACACTACACCGGATTAATGGCGCATATCAAAATACGAAACATGCGCAGTGCGGAGTGGCGGCGCTAATTAAAATACGAAACATTCGCGGTGCCCTCCGCGTGTATTGTTGTTTGATTCACCCGATTAAAAAGCGTTTGCGCAGAAAAAAAGAAAAACCGCAAAAGAGATAGTTCTTCAAGACACTAAGATGCAAGTGTTCAGTCACGAAGTACAAGCGCGTGCTAAAGATAACTACTTTTTTTTTTCACCGAACCTACACGTGGCTATATTCGGATCGTGACTGGCGAGAAAGAACGTATTCACAAGTCTGTGCAAAAAATAACTTGACACTCGAAATGTCGGAAGAGACAATTTGGAAAGCGGAAAAAATGGCTAAATTATACTCGTTCAGTGATATATTATTCATGAAAAACTGGAAAGTAACGACAAAAGTAACGTCGTTACTTTTATCGTTACCTCAGAAAAAAGTAATAGAACTACAGTTACAAGTTACATTTTTAAAAAGTAACTCGTTACAGTTACAAGTTACCAAAAAAGTAACGAAATTACAGTAACGCGTTACTAGTAACGCGTTACTATCCAAGACTGGTTAATCGATGCCGCACCAAGAAAAAGGGATGAACAAGGACGTGAAAGCGTCTTAGTGGAGTAAAATATTCCTCATCCACAAAATTAAAAACAAAAAAAAAACAAAAAAAAAACGTCTTTACGCAAGACGTTCTTTTTTGCGAAACTTGTAATGAGGACCCAAACTGGAGGGTAGATTTATGGAATAAAATTTGCCTCAAAATTATCCCCAGAAGAAGAAAAACATAAATAAATGCCGAAAAACAGCCTGTTTTTCTTTCATTTCTTTCTTAAAAAATTATTAGAACCCTGTGCATTTAGGCAATCAGTGAATTTGAATGCCATACCACAAATTGCCCTGCTAACAAGCAAGCCATAAAGTGAATATTGCGCGAACAATATTGAAGCTCCGTTCAGCATCGGTTTTATATTCGCACTTATACGCACATGTATAGAAATTCCGTGTTTTTTCGCTATCAACGAATAGTTCACAATTATCATAAGCATCAGAACGCACGCCTATCTGAACAACTTAATTCCATTCGTTCGCCGACATTCCTTGCTGAAGTGTGGTCGGGTCAAATTTATAGCCTTCCAGCTCTTAACACTTCTCTATAATCGCTCTTTCACTTGCAAACGCAAAATAACGTTCCATGTATACTTGCAATCCTGCGGGTACGGTATGAGCGCTAACCGGATAGAAGGTCACCTAATTTTTGGCGGACCTGAACTAACGCTCACCTACTTTTTGGCGGACCCGGACAAAAGCTTACTCATTCTTGGGCGGACCAGGGCAGAAGCTCAAAAACAGTTATCATCATTGAATATCAAGGACCCTTTTAGGGTTTTCAATTCTTTGGAGCTTGTAGAGTACCTCGAAGCAGAGGGTCCAGAGATGAGGCACGCTTGTAGTATAGACGTGGAAGATCTTTTTTACTCCTTGCCGCACGACAGATTGCTGGAAGCAGTGAAAGGTTGCATCGAAGCCAATGGAGAACTGGCTTTCAGGAGTTCTAGTGGAGTATCCCTGGAAAGCTTTTTGAGTTGTTGTTATTTTATCTGCAGTCAATGGTAGTCGGGTGGCAGGAAGGGTGCTACCGGCAAAAGTCGGGTGTGCGTATCGGCTCTTGCGTAGCCCCCGTCTTAAGTGACATTTACCTCGGTGAAGTGGACTGTGGCATTGAAAGAGAGCTAGGCGGCACGAGTGTTATCAAGATAATTCGCTATGTGGATGACTTTTTGGTGTTTTTCAGAAGATCTGGAACATTGGAAGCGTTGGTTGACACAGTGGTGGCGGTATTCGAGAAGTGTGGGGGAGGCCTTAGGTTTACCTTTGAGGTCCCAAAAGAAGGGGTACTCCAGTACCTGGACCTTTCCCTGCGCATAGGAGACTCGCATGTCTGCTGGACCTATCGTCCACGATCCAAGAAAGGCCTCCTCGACTGGAGGTCGGCCTACTCGAAGGTTGTGAAGAGGGGCATCGTTACATCTTGTCTGAGCTCAGCGCTCAAAAAATCTTGCCTCCACACTCTGGTGGAGAGCTTTAGGCTACAGACAGACAGACTGAGGAAAGCTGGCTATCCGACGACACTACTTTCAGACGTCGCAAGCAAACTGCTGAAGAAAGTAAAGGGTAGCCAGTCTACACAACGGGATGTGGAACGCAAGCGACCTGTAGTTATCCCGTACTTACACAGGATCTCTCACAATTTAAAAAATGTTGCAAAAAGATATGGAATCCCAGTGGTTTTTTCCGCACCGGAAAAAATGAGCCAGATCTGCCCAGAGTTCATGCGAAGGCAGAGGGAATCGCCACAAACAAGTGTAGCAAGAAGCACGCCAGGCCGTTCGTCCCATGTGCCACGGGAGTAGTCTACAGTATCCCCCTCTGGTGCGGCTCCACCTACGTGGGACAAACGGGACGGTGCCTGAATGAAAGGCTCCGCGAGCACAGGTACTCCCTCGGAGCGACAGTGGGAGGACACCTTTCGGTTCACTGTAAAGAGTGCCTGTGCGAGCCGTTTTTTAGTGCCACCACCATCTTGGGACGACACAGGGACAAAGTGACACGCGAGGTGCTGGAGGCCTTCCACATCCAGAGTAGAGGAAAAAAGTGTATCAGCGCAGCATCAGTGGCGTTGTCAGGCAAGGAGCTGGAATTCCTGAAGTTGACAATGAGGGTCCAGCACGTGCCGTAGTCAGCTACCATGGGTGAAAGGTGCGCGTGTGATTGCGTACAGTAATGTCTTTTTTCTTCTTCTTTTCCTGTATAATTTTATCTTTTTTCTTTCTCTTTGTCTTTCTCTTTTTCGTTGAGTAAAGAAGTCGTAGTTGCGAGTCAGCGCTCTGTCCTGTCTGGTGTGTCTCTTCCTATTTCTATCTTCGCGCTGTTTTATTCCATTATGTACAGAAGTTCACCTTTCTTTTTGATAACCTGGGCGAACCATTTAACTCGGGATAAAACGGGCTGGTCTAAACTGTGATATAAAACGGGCTGGTCTAAACTGTGATATAAAATGGGCTGGAAACTGCGGGAAGTCCTGTGAGCTTTTGTTAGTGGGCTTCTGTCCGGGATTAGGTACAACCACGGGGCATGGCAGCCTGATTGAAACCAACCGCAACGCCCCGCCAGAACCGATGTCAGAGAATCCCTATTTCAGAAGAAGCGTTATAATAAAGCTTGTTCATCCCTTTTTATTTTTTTTTTTTGAGGGGAGGGGAGGAGGAGGGGGGGCTCGTGAAGACGCGACTACAAAGTTTTACCAACCTATTGAGATGCGTACTTCATTGTTTTTTTTTTGTTTGTTTTTCTTTTCAAACATGAACCCGTGTACGTCGCTCGAAGAACTGGGGACAAATCCAGCGTGAACCGTTATTTGCACTTGACGACCTTGCAGAGGACGATACTAAGTTGTTTTACAATAACTTATCACCCTTCAAAAAGACTTGAAGATTTTGAATACCTTCCACCTTGCAAAGTTTAGTACTCCAAAAATAAACCAGGCGTCTAGCTTCAGCCAAATGTGCGAATCGAGCAAATAAAAGAAATGTTTTTAGTAGTTTTTTGTGTGTTTCCCTTATCACTCTTACCAAATGACTAGAAGAAGAGTTTTACCGTTAATAGAACACTTTGGTTTCATATGTAACACTGTTTCTACGAGGGAACGCAAGAAATCAAAGATGTTTCGCGTGCTGAACGATGAAAATGACCTCCTCTTTTCATCCTCCAAGTCGCCTATTCATCGCGCCCCTTATAGTTTCCTAGAGCCACTATAAGAGACAGCATACCTTTTATCTGCAGGGATTTATAAAGACGGAACGCTTCTCAGTACAGTCAAATATTTTACCAATAAGCCTACTATATGTTACTACAATCTTTTGACACAATACACTGCTGTAAAAACTACCTCATTGCAAACTGAAATGTTGCGGATTACGTATAAGTATATAGCTTAGGCAATTCAAATCAGAAACGTTGCAAAAAGCCTTTTCAATGCATAGGCAGCATCGTACTCACTTGTATGAGGTGATAGACCTTCGTGGCACGGTACTCCACGCTCTGTCTTCTTATAGATTCTGCTTACCGGTTAAGAAAAAACAACAACAACAACAACTCTGATATCTTACTTTCGCTGATCGGTCCAACAACGAACGATAAAAGAACAATGACCGCTATCAGGATAGCGTGAGCGCATTTCTAAACTCCTGAGTTTTCTACAATGGAAGACAATTGGCGATAGCTCTTAGGCACTCTTTTAAACAAGACAGCCTAACTCTTGTCGGTCTCAAAGATAGGCGGTAATTTCCGGTGTAAAAGCCCCCTCAAATTTCAGTCGGTCCGTCTCATACAACGATGCGACATACTTGATTTCCTTTTTCTCTGAGCATGTACACTGAGTGGGAAAACTGCGCAAATTTGCCACGGGTGTGATATTTCTCGTTCCGTTCGTTGACGAGAATATTGAAATTTACTCTTGTTTGCGCAGATATTCCGATCATAATGTATACATGTAGGCTTTTCAATGCTGTTTCACCAGGTCGACCGTAGAAATATATAAGTGGTACTTACAAAAAGTTGCGACTTATATACCAACTTTTTTTAGGAAAAACAGCCGTTTGTACAATGGCAATGGTGCGACTTATAGACGAAACGAAAAAACAAAAAAATATCCAAGGACAATAATTAACATAACACTCAAAGTTCAATCATTGGAAACGTTTCTTCCATTACCTTTATATTCACAATGAAGGAAAAATGTATTATTGAAAAGTTTGAATCACGCTGACTCTCTAAAAGTGATAGTAATGGTGAGTATAAATACACAAATTTTTGAAGTACTAAGAAAAGGGCATGGTTAACTGCCGGTTTCCGAGGTAAGATTCGCACATTCTACAATAATAGGAACCGTCTGTGCGTCCAGTCAGTTTCTTTTGTTACAGTCCCAAAGTGCGTTTTCATATTTCCGGGCTTGTATTCCTAGTTATACAAACCACGGTCTTGTGCGTAGAACAGGAATGTTTTCTATACCCAGGGTTCAGTATATATATAAAAAAGCACTCACGGGTAAATATCTAGAAAGTTTTCAAGCAGATTTCAGCGTTCAAGATTGCATTAAAAGCAAACGATACACTTCCCTTTAGTTGTTCTGTAGCTCCGGGTCACTTGTTAGAGAAGCTACAATGGTCTCCTTTCTGTTCCTGAGCGATTAGCAATATCGTCAACGTTCATTTAAAAAAAAACGGCTATTTGTTGTTGCATTTTTGACAGATTATTTTATATTTATATTCGCACGCACGTCTGGAGAAATGGATGGATACTAAAAAGGCTAAACTCCAATGAGCGCCGCATTGCAGATATTGAAATCTTTAGTTAACTTAGGTAAACTCGAATAAACGCCAAATTTGCGACCAAAACATTAACTCAGAATTATACTCTTTGAATTTTAACAAAAACCCACTTTAAAAACACAAAACCCTTTCTATTCTTTATAGGTAGTTCAATTGATCAACGAGGAGCGTGTTGGTACGTGTGAGTTTCGAAGAAAGACTAAACATGCAAGACAAGTACCATAATCGAATGCTCCCTTTTTGCGATTCCTTAAGTCTATTATTACCTGTGAAAAAACGTGGTTGTTATGTCTGCGGGGCAAGGAGTGGCAGGACGAGGAATGACTGCGAACAGCTTTATTCCGCATGGCCGTCAGCGGTCTGGCTGCGCGTATGACGGTGCTCTTTTTATAGAGCGCCCGGTGACGTCATTACTACGCGTGCTGCTGATAGCAACGGCGGCGGCCTCTAGCACGTCCTCTACCACAATTTGGACGTCATGAAGCTTGATAGTGGTCGGGGGGTCTTTTCTAGCGTTCTGGGTACCGCCGAGGGGCAGCATTAGTGGGGGTGACGGGCACCGTTTGCCTTGTGGAGACAGTAGACGGCGGTGATACGTCGGCTTCAGACGCAGGATAGATGGTGTCGGTATCGTCCTCCCCCACGAGTGACGGTGCTTTCGCTGCAGTAGACGCTGAACGCAGGTGGTCCTTGTGTCGCCTCCAAGTACGGAGTCCATCCGGCGTCCGCACCTTGACCACGTAGGACACGTCCCGTCCGCTGCAGTACTGTTGCGTGGAGCCATGTGGGGCCGCTCCTGGAATTACGCACGAACACTTCATCGTTCACTTCGAACACACTGTCAGCACCACTGCGCCGTGAAGTCTGTTCAGACTGACGTGCTCTCATAGTGCGATCCAGAGCCGGCTTCAGGTCATCCAACCGTGTCCGTGGCTGACGACCCAGTAAAAGAAAAGATGGGGTTTCTTGAGTCGTCGCATGCGGAGTGTTGCGATACGTCATTAAGAATTTTGACAATGTTTCCTCCATACTTTCAGTTGCAGGGCCTTTTCGGAGTGCGTTCTTTAGGGTTTGCACAAAACTCTCTGCGAGTCCATTACTGCTGGGGTGATATGCAGAAGTGAGAACCTGCCGGACTGCATGTTCTTTAAGGAACTCCTTAAACTCAGACGATGTAAACTGCCCACCGTTATCACTAACCAGAGCTTCTGGTGCCCCATACCGAGCGAATACATCGCGCAGTTTTGTTATCGTTGCTTCTGCGGTTATAGACGTCGTGACAAAAACCTCAGGCCATTTAGAATGCGCGTCTACAATGACTAGTAGCATACGACCGCGAAGAGGGCCCGCAAAATCGACATGTACCCGTGACCACGGTTATGTCGACCATGACCACGGGCGCAAGGGTGCCTTTTGTGGCATGTGGCGCTGCTGTTGGCATGCCGTGCATTGTCTCACTTGGTTCTCCAAGTCTGTCTCCAAGGAGGGCCACCATACGTAGCTTCGGGCGACTGCTTTGCTCCGCACGATTCCTGGGTGTCCCTGGTGTAGCTCCTCCAGGACCAGCTGTTGAAGCTTCGGGGGCACGACGACTCTCATTCCATGCATCAGGCACCGCTCGTGGACTGTGAGTTCCCTGCGTCTGTCAAAATGGGGTTTCAACACTTTATCATCAATATGCGATGGCCATCCCTTCTTGGTGAAGTCTACGACCAAGCTGGGGACGGGATCACGCTCTGTCTGACGCGCGATGTTCTTACTGGTGACTGGTAGAGATGCCAACCGCAGCGTAAAAAACGCCTCGTCGTGACGGTCGTCTACATCTGTGGACTGTAATGGAAGTCGTGAAAAACAGTCCACGTCCGCGTTGTCTGCTGACGTCCTGTAGGCAAGTTTATACTTGTGGGCTCAAAGCGTTACCGCCCACCTCTGCAGCCTTGCGGCGACTATTGCCGGGATGCCACTCTTTGGCCCAAGGATCGTTTGCAAGGGTTTATGATCAGTAATTAACGTGAACTCCCGACCATAACTGTAGAAGTGAAATTTCTTGACGCCAAAGATTAGGGCGAGCGCCTCCTTTTCAACCTGGCTATAGTTTTCCTCAGCCTTTGATAACGTTCGGGAAGCGTAGGCAATTGGCCTTACCGTGCGATCTTTCATGACGTGCGACAGCACAGCGCGGAGACCGTGCACACGCATCGCAGGATAGCTGCAGCGGGCGTGCCGGGTCGTAGTGTGCCAGCTCCTCCGTCGACGACAAGACTGCCTTGATGGCTTGGAAGGCATCTTGATATTTCTGATCCCAGCACCAGGGAGCACCCTTCTGTAGGAACCTGCAGAAAGGCTTGGCAAGCGTTGCTAACCGAGGCGTGAATTTTCCATTGTAGTTTATCAGTCCAAGCAGTGAACGCAACCGTGCGCTGTTAGTAGGCGCTGGGGCATGCAGCAGCGCTTGAACCTTTTCCTCGCTTGGCTTGACGCCGGTCTCGCTGATAATGCACGCTTGACGCGGACACCTTTCTGAAGTCTACAAAATACGGCTTCAAGGTTTCTGAGGTGTTCTTCAGCGGTTGTTCCCGTGACGAGAATATCGTCAAGGTAGCATATGACACCCCGTAGTCCTTTAAGTATGTTGGGCATAATGCGCTGGAACAACGCGGGCGCAGACGCTACTCCGAAAGAGAGTCTGTTCACCGCAAATAGCCCTTTGTGCGTGTTTAATGTGAGAAGCTTTTTTGAGTCCTCCGACATCTTTACCTGCTGGTATGCCCTGCTAAGATCTAGCTTGGAAAAATATTTGCCTCCAGCGAGCGCAGCTAGTATTTTCTCAAGCTTGGGCAGAGGGTACTGCTCCGTGTCTAGGACAGGGTTCAACGTTGTTTTGTAATTCCCACACACACGTATGGTGCCGTCCTTTTTAACTACCAGTACAATAGGCGTAGCAAACTCACTGGTTGACACTTGCGTAATGAAACCCGTCTGTTTAAGCTTTTGCAACCGTTCCTCTACGGCCGACTGGAGTGCGTAAGGCACGTTTCTTGCTTTGAGGAACTTCGGACGTTGCTCTTTCAAAAACAAGGTGGCTCGCTCACCTTCTATCTTGCCAAAGGTGCCGTCGAAGATAAGGCTGTAGTTGGCTTGAAGTTCTTTTAGGCGTAGAAGTGTCATGCCGTAGCCGGTCGCGATCTTAGCAATTTCCACCAGCAGCAGTGCTGGATGAGGCAGACGCCTGTTCTGCTTGCAGGTCAGTCTGTAGTGTGGTAGGCCACGGAAGCTTCGGGACAGCCAGAAGTTGGGAGGCCGCGCGACGTGTGGACGCGATCGCGTTCGGTAGTGCTTTTCGCCAGCATATAAGACCAACCGCCAGGATCGCGACATCCGACAGCAGGACTGTTGGGCTGTGTGACGTCATTGGCTGCCATTTCGGGACCACTTTTGATATATGCGCTGGATAGGACGATAAACACACCTGTCGCAGACACGCTCCAGATACTTGTAATGAGTATCGCGGAGAAGTCTGCAGGAACTCATGTCTTAAAATATATTTAAATGAGGTGACTATAATCGCCGACAGCTTAAAATACCTCTAAATTTTTTTTAACAATTTGGGTGGGACACGCGTGTCAAAAAAGTAATTTTACGCGAAAAAAAAAAGTTTGCTTAGAGCAATATTGACG